AGCGTTTCTTGGAATATCGGAACTCAGTATACCACAGTGTATAAGTGTCATAAGGCAAACCACATTATGGTAAATATGAAGTAGGCACTACTTTTATTATTATTATTATTACTTTGGGGGGTGGTGCATTAAGTGAAGTTATCCATTATAAAGAATTTATTGATAGTTAATTTTCATGGTCTCAAATATTTCACTTTTTAGTTTATTTTTTATATCCGGATAAAAAGAGACCTATGAATTAGAAGATATGTTCAATTTCTAACGTTATAGATGTCAAAGACATTGGGAATTTTCAAGGCATAATAGCATTTTCAAGGCTTATACTCATACCTAATCCTTATGAATGTTTTTCCATACTGAAATTCTTTAACTGAATTTTTCGTTCATCTTAATTATCCTCATGAACTTGTTAGCTCATTTTGGACAGCTTGTTGTATGGCTTAAGTGTGCATGTCTACTGCAAACTGCATGCCCTTGTGTTGTACATATTGGAAATCAAATTTGAAACAAACTGTATTCATGCATGTTGCAATGATTTGATTATTTTGATGTGATGTGCAGATTGTTTAACGCCCTATATTTATCTTAGGCTACATTTGAAGCAGTTACTGGAGTTCGAGATGACAAAGCAACTGCTCAAGTTAAACTCTTTGGTGATAATTTGCAGGTATTTTGTGTAGTTTTGACAAGCTAAGAGCCTAAGATGTATTGCCTTTCTTCTGAGAAATTTGTTCAAAATCGTTTCTATCTTAGTTTTTGGAAAAAAATCTTCCATTGGATAACGCTTACAAATCAAAAGACGTTATTGCTGCTCCCATTCGTGTCATCCAGCTTATTTATAATGCAGGGGTGAGTTGTTACTTGAAAATATTTTATGTTATTATATTCTTTTCGAAAGAATCTTTTGTTTATGTGGTACTAGGCCTGTCACACATGGAAACAAGTAAATGTATGTTCACATATATGCATAAGTTTAGACACGCTCGCATATATATTTGCATCTTCATTCTCATTTAAGATTTTTGGCTCTATGTTGTAGGAAGATTTTGCTCTAAACATCGTGAGGCACATATTCACTGTTTAAAAATCCATCTTCACGCCAACCTATTTGAACTTTGATTTAGTAACAATTTTGTTGGAAATAGACACATAAGTATTTAGTAGATTGAGAGAATAACTAGATGGACCAACAAAGAACTTATGCACATACTCTATGTGGATACATCACATTGTTATATGATTTGTATTGAAAATTAAATATGAGAAATGAGAAGAAGGTACGAAAGTTTTTATTTTGATTATCTAATTTCCTTTTCTCTTGACCGTAATTCTAATTTATACTATAATATAATTTTAAACAGGATGTAAAGGGTCCTCAGACTGTTGCCTTCAATTTACCAAATGATGAACGAATTGTAAAGGACCGAGGGACATCCATGGTCATGCTTAAGAATGTCTCAAAGGCAAAGTATACCTTTCAGTGCTTTTCAGAAATTTTTAATCATTATTCTGGAATAAAAAAAACATAGAGGTTAGACTTTTAACACTTTTCCTTCTCAACCAGGTTGAAGCACATTCTTCAACCGATAGCTGATGCATGTATCGAAAAGGAACAAAGGGAACCTGTAGATTTTGAGTCTTTCTTTACTCACACTATCTGCCATGAGTGCTGCCATGGCATTGGGCCTCATATACTACAACACTTCCTGATGGTCGAAAGTCAACAGTTAGATTGGTTAGTTATGTGATTGCCTTTTATTGTATATGTTTCCCGTTTTGGCAAATTGAATCTAAAAACATGTCTGTGTAATATCTCCCAGGCAAATATAATTTATTTATTGTTCATAAAAAATGGAAAAATAAATTCCTACTCATATAGTCCCATAGTTCCAGTTTTAGGTAAACATTGAACAGCTGGATCATTGTTGTTTATTGTTGCATCTGCGCGGCCCAAGGAATTCTCAGATGTAGATGATATTTTCTAGAAAAGGATTTGGAGAATTCCAAGTGTCTTCTTTTTTGGTACATTCCAAGTGTCTTCTTAAGTTAACGAGAAGATTTCTATATAGATAAATGGTAAACAAGCTGGTTGAAACACTGGGGACACTTGGGACACTGGGTTTTTGACAATATGAATAGTTGCTTGGTTATCGCTCGCTAATAGGTTGTAGCTATTTAAAATCTAGTTCCTCTAACAGTTTTTCAAACCAAATCAACTTACAAGCAATATTTCCATTGCCCTTATCCTATGCTCAGTCTCAGCACTAGACTTTGCTACCACATTTTTTTTTCTTAATCTTCCAAGATAATGAAGACACAATATCCAATGTTAGGTTGCTGCAGTTTGTTTCTTTTAGATAGAGAACCTGCCCAATTGGCTAGTATGCAAGGAGTTTTAGGTGCTTTTTTTTTCTTAATCTGCAATCATTGTAGTTGAGGATTGCTTCTGGTCTTATATTCAAGAACAGTTCACTGGCAAAAGACAAAGAAAATCAAGAATGGGTCAGACATGTTAGCAGTTGTTATTATCTCTGATTTGCCATTGTTTTTCTTATATTTTTTTAATGCAGGAGCTGGAAGAACAACACTCGGCTTTGGAAGAAGCAAAAGCAGATATGGTTGGTCTTTGGGCTCTGAAGTTTCTAATTAGCAAGGTTGATTACTAAGGCTCTGTTTAATATGGTTTTGGTTTTTGGTTTTTAGATTTTAGTTTTATATATTTAGTAATTAGTACTATATTTAAATTAAATTTAATAAATTTTAATTTTTATATTTATTTTAATTCTTTTAACTCACTTTATTCATATATATTACAACTCCAATATAATATCTCCTAATTTTATTAAAATATTTTTAATAAATTAATGTAAAAAACTTTATTAAAAATAATCAAACAATTTTATAAAAATATTCTAATATTTAAAATATTATAATATTGTAAGTTTCAAATAGAGATGGCAATTTATTCCGATTCTCGTAGAGCCCTGGGAAAATCCCTGTCACGGAGACAAGAAGGGGAGGAATATTCCTTCCCACAAGGTGGGGACAAGAGTATTTTCCCTCAGTGAAATTTCGTGGAGAATTTTTCCCATCATGAGAAGCCCCACGGGGATCCCTATCCCTACAAAAAAATTTTTTTAAAAAAAATTCATTTTAAATTTAATATAATTTTCAAACCTAAACCCAAACCCAATTCAATAAAATTTAACCCAATTCTTTTCAACTCAACCCAACCCAACCCAACCCAATACTTTTAATCCTAATTCATTTCTTCAGATGAATCAGATCTCACTTCTCACAACCTGCCTCTGCCTCCTCTCACTCTCGGCATCTCGGGACACCTAGGTCACCTTCAACCTTCAGATCTCATTTCTCACAACACTGCCTCCACCTCCTCTCACTCTCGGGACTCTCTTGTGTGACTGTGTCTCTCACCTAGGTCACCTTCAACCTTCCCGGCTTATGCTTTGGCCCTCCCCTACCAATCACAAACAGCTGCGCCCCTGTTGCACCGCTTCAGCGTCGTTGCTGCACCGCTTCTGCACCCCTACTGCACCGCTACGCCATTGCTGCTCTCCTTCTGCAACGGTAAGAAGTTTAAATAATTTATGGATTGATTTAACATAGAGAAAGTCTAGATTTTCTAGAATTTGCTAGATTTATTGACTGCTCAATATGGGTTTTAAATTATTTCATGAGAAGGATAAAAGAAATTGAGAAAACTGTGAATGCTTGGCTGTTTATTTAATTTTTAGAGTTTACTGTAAATTCCAGTGAAATTGTGAAATGGAAGAATTTCAAAGGTACTCAAGATTGATGTGTCTTCAAGATTGGTTAAGAACATATCTCAAAGGTATTAAGTTGATTTTTTTTTATGGTATATTTCTTTTGTTCTTTAATTAAGTTGTTAATTTTCAATTTAAATTTTCGTGTTTAAAATAGGTTCTTTGGATGATATATGTTTCTTTATTCAAAATGAGGATGTGGATTATGACGAAAATAATAATTCAGAGGTAAAATATAGATGACCCTTTTTTATACTAATAATATAAATAGTTTTTCTATAAATATGTTAACATGAAGTATCTACTAATTGTATTATAGGTTTTTTTATGAGCAATTGTGGATTTCGAGAGTTAAGGTGTTTTGAGTTGGCTCTTGATTGCCTCCCTTCATGCTGGATGTTGATTTAGTTATTTTATTTATGTTAGATTAATTTTTGCTTATGTTTGGAACAAGTATGTTGTTTTATGTTGGATTAATCTCTATTTATATTTAGAACAACTTATATTTGAAAGAGTTTATGTTTAATTAATCTTTATTTATGTTTGGAACAAGTTTATTGATTAATTATTTATGTTAAATTAATATTTATTTATGTTTGATGTAAAAAATATATATTTGGATATTAATTGGTGGGGAATGGGGATGGCGATGGGGGGCAAAATCTACCCCTATCAAAAATTCTCGCGAGAATCCCTGTCCCTGCCATTTGATTGGACAGGAATGAGAATGGGATGGGGAGAGATTCTCCGATCCTACAGGACCCTGTTGACATTCCTAATTTAAAATTTCTCCCTTTTTTTTTTCTTAAACAAACAAGCACATTTGTTTATTAACTTGGTCAGGGGACAAATGACAACTATTTTCTTTTTAAACAGTTACAATTTAAGAATAGGGGGATGGAGAATTTTTAATATGACAATATTATGACTTAAATTTTAATTATTATCAAGATATTAAGTGTATCTATCAATTACCTCATAAAAATTGATACCAAATGACAATGACCTTTTTGTTATCAAATGCCCCCGTAGGGAAAATAATTGTTCTCTACAGGAGAAAGTAAACTCCCCAGGGAAGAGGTAGAGAAGAAGGTAAGCCTTTAAATATCAAAAACTCATGTCAATTATGTAATATTATGGTCACTCTTTCCTATTTCTGCATATTTTCTAATTTTCAACTTTTGGTTAAGTTTAATATTATGTTTTTTTTT